CCTTCCTTCCTTCCTTCCCTCCTTCCTTCCTTCCTTCCTTTCTTCTTCCTTCCTTCCTTCCTTCCTTCCTTCCTTCCTTCCTTCCCTCCTTCCTTCCTTCCTTCCTTTCTTCTTTCTTCCTTCCTTCCTTCCTTTCTTCTTTCTTCCTTCCTTCCTTCCCTCCTTCCTTCCTTCCTTTCTTCTTCCTTCCTTCCTTCCTTCCTTCCTTCCTTCCTTCCTTCCTTCCTTCCTTCCTTCCTTCCTTCCTTCCTTTCTTCTTCCTTCCTTCCTTCCTTCCTTCCTTCCTTCCTTCCTTTCTTCTTTCTTCCTTCCTTCCTTCCTTCCTTCCTTTCTTCTTCCTTCCTTCCTTCCTTCCTTCCTTCTTTCTCTCTCTCTTTCTCTCTCTCTCTCTCTTTTTTTCAAGAAAGGAAAGTGGGGAGGGGCAGAGGGAGAGGGAGAGAGAGAATCTTAAGCAGTCTCCATACCCAGCATGGAGCCCAATGAGGGTCTCGATCTTACAACACTGAGAACATGATCTGAGTCGAAATCAAGAGTCAGATGCTTAATTGACTGAGACACCCAGGCGTGCCCTGGCCGATATCTTGATGCAACATGATGAGACTCTGAGCCAGAACCACCCAACCAGGCTGCTCCCGGTTCCTGATTAGCAGGAACCAAGAGATAATAAATGTTTGTTGTTTTAAGCCACTAAATTTCAAGGTTATTTGTTATGCAGCAATAGATAACAGATATACCATATACATGAGGTAAGTAAATGCCAAGCAGAAAAGAAACATACTTTACGAATGCACATACAAAAGAGAATCTAATTGAGATGAGTCTGGGATGGTTTCCTTAAGGTGGTGAGTACTGTGCTAAGATCTGGTGGATGAGTAAGAGCTAAAGAGGCAAAGAAGGCAGGTGGAGGAAGGCATCTAGACAGAGTGAAAACATGTGCAAAGGCCCTGTGGCCTGTTCAAAGCCTTGAAGGAAGACCAATGTGGTTGAGCATGAAGATGTAGGGAGAGTGTGGTACGAGATGAGGTTGTAGAATAAAGCAGAAACTTGAAGATCACATTAAGAATTTTGGTCTTAATCCTGAAAGCAATAGGAATCCATTGAATTTTAAGCACAGAGGGTAACATGTGAACACATATCTTCTACAGTGACATGTTTTAAGAGTTTTTCTTTTTTAAGTTACCTTACTTTCAGTTGTTGGGAGTGCTCTATAGGGTTATTTATATTGTGTATATTTAGCTAGCTGGCCAGAAAGACTGATGATAGGGTTAGTTATATAGGATTATTACTTTTTACTTGATAAGTCATTTTAATGAATATTTGTCTCCTTAGAGAATAATAAGCCCTCAGTAGTATCATGTGGCTTGGCAGAATAAAAGACAGACTGAGTCTACCTTCACAGTCACCATTAATGCATTTAATTGGGTGACACTAATAATCCTGCTTTTCAGTGAATATTTCTACCCCCCACATTTTTTAAAATGTTTATCTTGTGTTTCAACGTTTCCAAACCTAGAACTGGCAAGAGAATACTCTTAAGTGATTAGAAAGTCTAAGACAATGTTTTTTACTCATCTTGTTATTTTAAAGAACGATAATAATCAGAGCTGAGAGTTAAATTTTATCACATGTGAACATAGAAACTTGAAATGCACATAGGCTGAGATGAAATAACCATGAGGTTGATTGCATGAACCATTAGATTGTTTGACTACCTTCCAGTTCTGTGTTATATTATAGACAGAATATATTATTTCTT